AAGTAATACAGTGGTTATGAGGAAAAAATATTGCAACTAAGTCATTTGCGAGCATGAAATGCATCATTGCTGTTCCCTGACTTCTGAAGCTGAGTAATGCAGGTTCATAAAATGACTAAGGCTTGTTAAGAATAGAAAAATTATTTAATCTCCTTTAAAATCAACAAAAATGTAATTATGTGGACCCCTCCCACATCCTGTTTTAGCCATCTCTCCAGGCAGCTCAGTGCTCAAGCTCCTTGGGGAAGGAAATGGCGGGGGGGGGGGGGCTGATGCTGAGCCTGGGGACGACAAGGACAGGATGGGAAGATTTTCTGCCCAGACTCTGTAGAGAATTTAGCTACCAAGTAATAACAGGTCTTCGCTGCCCATCTGCAAACTGAGATTTATTCCCCTCCTCCTCCTCCTCCTCAAGTCTTCGACATCTGTATTTGCATGGGTTTTCTTAGGGAGAGCTCAGTGATGACATGGTTACTTTTCCTCCTGCCAGTTCCCACAGCCGAGCTCCACATCTTGGCAATGCTGAAATTTCACAACAAAAGCAATTGTCAGGATTCTTTTAATTTTAGCTCGAACAATTTCACTGAAACTTCTCACTTACTTCATTCCTCCAAAAACTTGATACGTTTTTTTTTCTAACTAAACCAGGAAAAAAATTAGTCTAAATAGTTTATCTTGGACAATTTATGAATGTTTATGTGAGTGTCCATCCAGGGTGGATCTTCAACGTGAAGTTCCAGTGCTGTCTCCAGTTTTATTGTTTAAAGACAGTTCAACAGGGTTTTCAAGAGTGTCTTATGTCAATGCAAATGTTTGAAAAATTATGTACAACTAAATCTGTCTTTAAAACTCCCTCTTTATTGTGTAAGCTTTCCACTTAAATATCAGTCATCTGAAGTCATCTATTTCACCTGTCTCATTAGAGGATTATATGTAACAGCTATAAGAATATAAGGGTTATATAAAATTGTATCCACTATTTATGTATTATTGTATCCAACACATATGTCCTTTCCATATGGGATGTTCTCACTGTACAGAACATAGTCAGTTCCAAGTATAATTCAACAGAAGCATTCAACCTTTGATTTTAAAACTGTTATATCTCCACTTCAACAGCCCACGTTGAAAGGAAATTCCAGATTGTAGGGGGGAAATGGCTGCCAATCTGAATAAGGAGGAACATCGTCAGATGGCAGGGAAGTATTTGTACTAGTTGTATTAACAGAAGCAATGACCTTTACACACTCCAAAACAAGCCATATGGGCCCTGGATCACAGCAACCGTTTGTCAAGAAAAACTCTTGAATCATTTCAAGTGGTGTTCAAACACAGCCATGAGAAGCCTGAATACAAAAAGCTCCTCCAAAATACGTCTCTGAAAGAGGGAAGATGCACCAAATTTTGAGGTAACTGCTATTTCAACCTTCAAATACTAGAGTAAAAAATTTTTTTGCATAAAATTTGGCCTTTCCATTGTTGGGGATGGAAAACAGATGGACTGCAGTTTAGCTTTGCAGCCCCTAAAACCCTCTGTGGTTTTCTTTCTCTTTTCCTTGGCAGAGTGAGACCATTCTGCATTAAATTTGCATATGGCCACCTTTCTCCCTAGAGTAACTTCAGTGATTCATCTGACCATATTTCTGGGGAATACGTGCCCTAAACTTTAGGAACTTTGCCTTCATGGGCAATCTCCATACTCCTTACAGCTTCTGCAAGTGAACCAGAAGGACCTGCAGAAGTGAGCAATGATTTAGTATTTACCTTATTTATTCATTAAACTGGTGAGAGTGATATTATGCTCCTGTGTGACAACACTGATCTTTAACTGAAACAAATTAAACCACACCATAAATTTTCCTAATGGAGAGTAATACACTGAGTTGTGGATGCTTGTGGCAAGGATATTAATGGAGTAGTCAGGGTGACAAACAGAACATGTTTTAAATGGAATCTAAAAGAGATCAGGAAAGAAAATATCGTCTTTCAGGGAGAACAACAACAAAAACCCCAGAGACAAATCAAGCCTGTAACCTTTGCTGGGGGTAGCATGGGTAGAGTAAAAAGAGTACACAATGCTGCTTGGAGAACCTCAAGGAGAGGAGGAGCTCTCGTGTCAGAAATCAGGGCTAATGAAGCCTGCAAACATTTCAGTCTTCTGAGTTTAAATGGTGAGGTGAATTCAACCTGAATTTCTGAGAGAGGGGAAACTCTTTGCCAGACAAATAACTCTGAATTTGGCTTATTAAGAGCAAGAGTCTTTTACCTAGTGAACACTCTGCTTCCCGGCCATTCCACTGTGAGCAGGGAAGCTTACACGATTTGGAGGATATATCATGTTTTATGGTAATGCTCTGACGTGACAGACTCGCTGCTCGGACAGCACTGAGGTACTGAACCTACGGGGGAGCCCTGGAGCACAACAGGGTTGGAAAAGAACCCATCAGAGAACAGATAAAGTTTTCTAGGAATCTATCACTCTTCTTGAAGATGAATGGGCTCATGGGAAAAAGGGGTTTTAGAGCTGCAAGATTAATATTTGAAGTCAGTGGGTGTCTAGATGCTTTCAAATGTTGCACCCTCCACAGACCTGCAGGGCCTGTGAATGAAGCTGTTCCCAACTGCCAGGACACAGAGCAGACCTTTCTTCTACCATGGAAAAAGCCTTCTCCCCATATTGACCTACCTGTCTTGGATGTGCTTTGGTGTTGGTCTCCACCATGGCAATGCAATCAGGGTGGTGGCTGAGGTGAGCACTGAGGGCTGAGTCCCTCTTACACCCTCACACACACAGATTATCTTGTTTGTCTTGTAGGCTTCTATTTCTCTCCCTAAAGGACATTGTACCAATCAGACAAAAAGCAATTTGCCTGAATCTTTTCTCCTCCTACTCTTCCCTGAAACAGTTTTCAAAACAAATAGTAGTCAGCTCAGGGAAACCAGGATGGTTGAAGGTGAGCTCCTCCCCTTCCCCTGCTACCTGGCCTTATGCAGAGGCACCCTTCCTAGAAATGCTTCTGTCCCACCATTTCCCGACTCCCCAAAATGAAAAATATTTTCTGGCCAGAGGGGTGGTGGGTTTTGGTGGTGTGGTCACAGCACATTGTTCTCCTGGCAGGTGCAGCTCTGCAGTTGGCACTGACACTGCTCCCAGTGCAGCCTGGGGGTCCTGTCTGCCAGGCAGGGAGCCCTCAATCCCTCAGCCACCAGTGACTATTCCAGTTTGTGACTCCCAGGAATATCTCATAAATTTTGCAGCCAAAACAAACTGGGAGCAAAGAAGATAAAGTCTGTGGCTTACAGGAAAGGTCCCAGCCTGGGCTCGTCAAACCGGGTTATTACGGTGACCTCCACAGCTCCAAACAAACAGAGCATCTGCGTGTTCCTGAACCTTGACTCACCTCTGGTACATGTGATGGGAAGGGGCTGTGTCTGCAGTGCATCACTGGCATATGGCTTCCTGCACTGCACTGTAAGATTAGTTTAGGTTCTCAACTTTATAGATGCAGAGGGAGTCTAGTGCTCTTTTATTAGCACGACCCCATACTGACCTCCGTGCTAAAAAAAGCAGGGACTTTCATTTCACCTCATAATCCACCAAGGGCAAATAAACAGTCAGAAATTCTAGTCTTTCTTTTTCCCCAACTCTCATTAAAACTGTGGTCTCTGTTATTGTCATGCAGACACTTTGCACTAGTTTTTTATTGCAGTCAAGTACAGATGCCCTTTTTATTTTGAAACAGAGTTAATAGCAAAGCTTTTTTTGCTAAAGTTTCTGATTATCTACTATGGCTGAGAGCACTTTACCAGCAATAGTCTCCTCGGAATATTCAGGGTTATGCACAGCTTTTAATTCTTTAAAGAGTTTGGCGATAAATAACTTGTGTGCCCCATGATCTCATTTGAAAAGCAGCCAGCAGATCTCTGAATGTGCTCGTCCACTTCTCTCACCACCAAGATGCTGGTGCAGCATCAGGAAGGTGAAGGTGGTGATGCAAAAGCCATGTCAGTATTAGGGGGCTTTATAATGCACCCCCAGGCACAGCACAAAGCCCGTGTGCACGTTCTTAGTGCTGCCCTGGCTGTATGTTCTGTAGGGTTTCTGCTGAACTTGCTGCTCTGCATTTGGAGCAACTTCAGTCTTGCAGGCGGGATGGCACAGGGATAATGGGGTAGCAAGACAGAAAAACAAATTCTCTTTTTTGATCTACATGCTGGAAGTGTTCAAGGTAGGTTGGATGGAGCTCTGAGCAATCTGGTCTAGTGGAAGGTGTCCCTGCTCATGGCAGAGCGTGGAACTGGATGATCTTTAACTGTCCCTTCCAACCCAAGTCATCCTATGATTCTATGATGTAGTGGCTGATGTTGCTGGTGATTGTGTCTCTTAGTACAATGAATTTATGCTGGTTTTGTCTTTCTTTTTAAAAATATTGCAAAGCGTCTCCTATGTCTTTATTTATTTTTCTATTTTTTTTCATCCTTACTACAGTTGCACATTGTTACTTACATGAATGGAACAGTCTGTTCTTTTTGAGTGGCCATGACAAGAAAATACGTCTTTTTAGCAATTCTAAGTGAGGCACTGAGGTGTTATTGGGGGAACTTTTCTCCATGAGAGGAATCATACCTGAGACCATGCACTTCAGAGCACTCTGCAGTGCAGTGGCAGGGTGTGTAGGCACACGGAGTGTTCCTGTTCCTTCATTGAACGATGTTTAAACACAGTGTGACGTAGCAGCTTCCAGGAGTGTGGGAGCACTTGGATTCCAGCAGTGTTACCTCATTAGACTCACTATTATGAGTGCTGCCATTTATTCACAGTAGTAAACATTGTACTGAATAGTGTACACAGGATCTAGGCTTTAGAAAACAATACAATTATGAGAACTGAACAGTCTCGAGAGATTGTGTTTAGTGAAAAGCGTTTGCTGGAGCTTTGCATGAAGCTGCAGAAATGGGCAGTTCATGGTGTTGCCAGAAACCTTCCCAAATCTTTTTTCCCCGAGATAAAATTCTGAAAGAAATTAAATGTCTGAGATTAAATGTGATTCATTAGAGAACAAACCTGCAGAACTCAGGACAGTCAGCCATTCTGTCTGATTTCCTCTGAGTCTGTTATGAGGGTGATAGATGGCTGGGTGATGACAGCTTTTGAAGTGTAGATTTCTGCTAAATCAATGGACAAGGTATGTCAAATTTCTACTCATTTCCAAGAGCTTCTGTCAGCCCCCACAAACAGCTGCTCTTTCATTCACTATTGTACTGTGCTGGAGCCACAGAACATGAGAGAAAATCTTGTTCTGTGAGTTTTTATAGTTTACCACATCCAACTTTCCATTTTAGAAAGCAAAGAATGTAAACAACAGTCTTGCTTCGATGTCTGGGTAATGTGCAGCAGCTCCATAATCAATAATAGAAAATGTTACTGAAAGGCCCAATAGACCTCAAAGAGATAATGTGAATTGGCCATTAACAGTAAGTCATTATAGAACTTATTAAGTGAAGCCTTGGGACTGTCATAGAGCCTAAAGGTTGACATAAATTTTTCATACACATTGAACTTTGCTAAATGTGCTTGCATTTGATTAATGATGACTTTCTTCAGTGCTCTAATAAGAAGAAGGAAAATATGAGCTGGGGCTGCAGCAGGGAGAAAAGGCTCCTGGGAGGAAGGGCAGTGTTGGCAGCAGGGGAACAATGGGGTTTTCTAGAGATGCCCTGCCAAGTATGAGGGAGTTTTTCACTCCCTGAAAAATTGCTCCTTACCACCCAGGGAGAAGGCAGTGAGCACAGCATGTGGACAGGGAAAGACAGTTTTGTAGTTGTGGAAGCGAAAACATTGTAGCTTCCAAACACCAACAGAAAATTCCGCCCCAGGTCCCCTTAAACCCTCCAAATGTCACAAAGAACAACCAAAAAATCCACCCTCAGCCCCCTTCAGCCTCCACATATCAGAAAGAGCAATACAGAAGCGCTTCATACTTAACAAGGGACAGGAGTGGGGTGTCTGCAAGCCCTGCTGGGGATGGAGCTGGAGGAAATTTGCCTTGGCAGTCAACGCAGTGAGTCACAGACTCATGGAATGATTCAGGTTGGAAAAGAAGACAACAACAGCAAAGCAAAACCTCCACTTGCAAAAGGCCTGAGGAGCAGCATATGGATTTGTTCAATTAAAATAAACATGTTTTTCGCTTGTTTGAAATAAAAAAAAAAGGGAAAGCAATCAGTAACCTCAGTCCAAAGTCTAAGCCTCTTTCACTAACCACCAAAAATGCAAGGCATGTCTTTGAGTTAGCTAAGGGATAGCTTTAAAAAAACTACAGAGTAAGGGTTTTTTCCTCTTTCTAGTGTTTAAATCTGCTGAAGTTCAAACTTTTAAGCTTTAGTTTTGATTTATTTTAAAAAAGCATCCCTGTAATCAAGAGTCTGACAAACAGCTCCAGACAAGAGGACTCAAAATCTTCTCCTAGACTTAGATAGCTGAGTCATTAGGTATTGGTCCTGATTTTACAAACATAGAAGGAAAAAGAAATGCGGACAAGAGATGTGTCTATTCCTTCTCACCTCCTGGCAGGATGGGGTAGTAGACAATTATCCCCATCACCACTTATAAATTTGTCCCTCCAAAGCAGATTTCCCCCCCAGCCATGGATGGTGTTTCAACTGTTGGTGTTCTTGATGCAGTTATGAGCTACTGCAAACGGACTAAACAAGCATGAAAAAGAAAAGAAAAAATCTATCAGGTTTTGAGTTTGGCAGTTAGAGAACTCACAAGGACTTTGAAAATCTCAGGTTCAATTCACTGCCTGGGTTAATATTTAATTATTTATAGAACACAAATTGGTTTCACCCAAAAGTCTGAAAGACTCTTGAGAAGGACCTTTCTCTGACCCAGAAAGTCCACACACAGTCCATGCAAATCTCTCCCCCTTTGTGTTCTGTGTTTTCTTTCCACGGCGAAACATGAAACACTCCATGTACTCTGCAGAAACCCCCACGTGGAGAAGCAGTTGACCCTGTCATGTAAAACCCTCCACCTCCAGGAGTTTGGAGGTCTGGGACCTCAGCAAAGTCCACTGGGGGTACACACACATGAAGTCACTGTGTCATACACGGCAAAGCTCTGCCTGGAGTGATGGCGCAGCTTCTGCCCCTCCTCTGCTGTGCCGATTCTGGGGACCTAATTTTGGAAGTGGGGTTTGCAGTTAATTAAGGGAGGGAGTGAAAAACCACAGAGCTCAAGTTGGTGAGCAGGCAAGGCCCAGGACTTTGTGCAGAAACAATTTTTCAAATGACTATGAATCCATAAATTGGAGTTGGCTAAAATTGTTTGTGTGACTTGGGTGATTGTAGTGAGCCCAGCTCAGTTAGATTGGAAAGAAGCAAATTTGAAATTATCAAATGCAGAGGTCAGTGATATTAAATAATGGAAACTTTGTGCACGAACATGCTGAACGTGGAACTGGGTCAAACTGGTTGAGCCCCAATCTCAGCCCAAATGAATGAAAACAATAGCAGAGGTCCAGAGACTTGCAGCTAATTCACTTGAGAAGTTAACTTATTCCCTTTCCCAAGCCATTCCTTTTTCTTCTCTCTCTTTTTGCTTTAATTTTATTTTTAAATATAGAGTGTGACTCTGGTGCAATTGTTCAACTTTACAGTAGCTCAGCATTTAGATCAGTGGCCAAAGGGGAAACCTACACAGGGCCTACGTAGATTTTTGTTTACTGACCCTTTCAATAAAAACATGTCATTCCAAGAATGCTGCTGGATGGGGAAGACATAAAAGAATTGCAGGTGTTTGGGTTCCAGAAAGCTAAGGCTGCCTCTTTGTGAGTCTTATTTAAATTCCTATCCTTCACTTTCTCTCTGATTTTATCAGATGCAACATGGTAAAATTCAGCATTTTGTCTTGTCAGTCAGTCAACAATATGGAGCCAAGAAAACATGGAAGCTCTTCAGAAGCTTTCCTCAGCTCTGGTGTAGCAGCCTCTGTGGCAGGAGCTCACACAAGATCACATCAATGCTGGTGGAGAGCTTGCAGGCTTGTACCTCTTGACATGGTATCTAGGACTGCTTGACATCATGGCAAGAACAGGACAGAGGCCAATGCAAGAATTTCCAAACAAACCCTCCCTTTCCCTATCAGTGTAAGTTGGAGAGTTCCCTTAGCAACTGGTCCTGCATTTGCATTCCTAATCGATTCTTGCCAGTGAGGACTGGTGCTCAAATGAGGGCTGGTGCTCAAACACACTGCGGGTACTCGAGAGGCAGCAGCTCCTCAGCCCCGCTAGGGTGCTAGTCCTGGTGATACCCAGACAGGCAGGAAGCTGAGGATTTTTGCTCACGCATGCACTCAGCTCACAAAAAAATCGCTCCTGTTAACATCCCACTGACGGTATTTGGAGGGGGTTTGTTGTATCCCCCTAAATGATGCCTCAGGCAGCACTTCTAAGAGGGAAAAATGGCCAAAACACTGTCTGCACTTGCTGCTGTCCCTTGCCTTACCTGGCTCAGCCATGGTGATCCTCCTTTAATTAGGGTTTTCTTCAAGCTGTAATTAGTCTTCCAGTTCCTTACATGGGTGTGAGGCTCAGTCCTTCCCTGAGCTCAGTCGGGAAGACAGAGAGACTGCGCTAAAGCAACTCGTGTGATCAAAGTCCTTCCCAGTCGGCTCAGACCCTGGGAACGCTGCGACAAATTCCTCTCGTGTGTCGGGACCAACCCGGGACTGCTGGGCTGGGCTGGGTTTATGCTCTCAGATTATAAACCTGAGACTCCCCGACTGCTGGTTTGAAGTTTAACACAAATAAACATCCTGTTCTTGTGCCAAAACATGCCGTGGGTTTGAGGTGCTGCAGATGACACACAATGAGGGTAATTCCCAGCATTTCAGAGGTGGTGTTGGCTGAGATTAGCAAGCCTAATTTAATAAAACACTATGTAATTGCATGTTCACTGGGAAGAGGGAAAAATAATCAAATGAAAAAGGACAAAACCAGCAGGGAAAGACAATTTATTTCCAAGCATCTACGAGAGTGCTACAAACAGTAGAGACTAAAACTCAAAGCATTTAAAACTATTTAAAAAAATGTAGTTGACAATGTCCTTCTTAAAAATTAAACATAAAAATGTAAAAAATGCAGTTATTAATTCTAAAACTTGCTCAAAAGTGAAATAAACCCAGATAACATCAATGAGGATGGAGTCCTACAAATTACTTATTTTTTACTTTATTTCAATTTATTAATTTGTAAATTGATACTAATTTCTTTTTTTTTTAATGTTTATTTAAATTTATAATGGAGAAATGTGCAAATCTAGCAAAATATTCTTTGGATTATAAACAGAGAAAAAACAACAACCAAAGAAATTTGAATCAAATTAATAATAAACTATAGAATTATATAGAATGCATACAGCTATAAAAAAGTGAAATATTACAATAAACACTGTAGAGCAAATCTGCTGATTTAGCAAACCCTGCCTTAGAAAATATGGGGATATAATGGGTCAAGTGAATATGTTATGGATATAGAGCTGAAACACCAGTCATAATTTTAAGGAGTTAAATTTTAATCTAACTACATAAATGGGGGTCTTCAGAAAAGTGATACGCCAACAAATCAGATTTCCTCTCAGATCAAGCAGTTTGGTACCTGATTGCAAATGAAGGACAGGGTGTGTAATATGAAGAGTAAGAAAATGTATATCAGTTCTATTTATTGCCTCTTCCCATATTGCAGCTGCTGATCTCTGACCCTAAACAGTCAACTGTATTAAATTCAGCAAAAGCAAAGCAGTACACAGATGCAGAAAATGTTGACGCACAGAACATATTCCAATCCCTTGCTCCTTCTGAACTAATAAAAAAAAAAGTTATAAATCACTTTTTCGATTAAAAACGTCCATTACGAAGCTCAATTCCCGAAGCTCTCTGTGTTTCTGCACTTCTGTGGTCACAAGGTAAATGTGTTCCTATCCGCAGATGCTTGTGACAAAAAAAAAAAACAAAAGGAAAAAAATCAAAAGGAAAAAAAAGTAAGCACTGGAATCTTAATTACTACTCGAGTAAAGTAATTGTCAGGTAGAACAGTCTTTAGGGAACTGACAGCTAAAGTAGGTCAAGTTTAAGTCTCTAGAACCCGCAGAAGCTTAGCACAGATAGGAGAGCTCACAGACCTGGAGTACACTGTAAGTACAGAGCACTCCTATCCACCTACAAAGTCACTTCTGAGACCTCTGGAATTCCTAAGATATAAGATAAAGGCATATTACATGGGGAATATTGAAAAGTATTACACTTAATTTAATCCAGAAAACACAGTAGTCTTCTATGACTATTCTTACTGTGTTCTGGGAGCAGCCACAAGCTGGAGATAGAGAGGGTACAAAATGTTCACCAGACATTACATTTTTTTAATCTAAAAAACATTTGTAAAATGTACTTGATTTTTAAATAATCACTTAACAAGGCAACAAACCAACTACAAACACATAATAAATAAGGCTATTAAAAGGTCACAATTGTAGTAAATTAGTCAGAACTATAAATGGGACATTAGAAACACTATGTTTTGCCTTATATGCTTAATAACCAGAACAAGAATTAAAAAAGAATCAGTTTATTTCAAAGTCGGCTTCTTATATTGAAGCACATATTAAAGCAACAGTACAATGTTCATAAAATATAAGTGTGATGCCATAACATTTCTTACATGTCAGAATACTGATATTTGTATGTATACTAAAATAAGAATTTTAAAATTGTACAAATAGATACATTAAAAATGACATAGAAATAGGGCCCCTCCCACTGCAACAAGACGAGAGTTTTTATATCTGGCACATATTAGTTCAAGATGAAAGTATAAGCAAAAAGATTTACAAGAATCAGCAGTAACAAGTTTGATGCTCAAGAGACATAATAATTGTACATTGTACTGTACATACATCATATGGGTTTAAGCTGGCTGAATATTATATATTTCAAGTTTAAAAATGCACTACCATATAGAGTGTCCATAGTTTAAGGCGAAATTACAGCTCAGAACTGTTATCTTTTCTAATCGTGGAAGCTTCTTTGATGTAAAAGATTTAGGTGTTCATAATACATAAAAGATTTCCCTTGTTTGTAGGTTCACTTTTAGCATTTTCCTTCATTTAAATATGTTGTATTTCTTAAGTGGGTTTTTTCCTTTAGTGAAGCTGGCAGCCAACTTCTAGATTTGCCTTTGTAGGAAAAGGTACTTCACAGTATTTACCACTTTTATGTCCTTTTCTTTCAAAGGAATCCTCTTTGTCAAACTTAAATGTTTAAATGAGATTTTTCTTGATTTTTAAAAAAATACCTGCTAACATTTCTTCTGGATTCTTCAGAACATCGGACACAGTTCTTAAGGCCAAATCTTAAACTTTATTGTTAAGAATCATCATCGAAAGTGTCTTTGGAGCCATATAAGTCTGCAAGTTTCTTAAATCGAGGTCCCCAGTTTTGTAGATAGTCGTAGTCCAAATCAGAATCTGTCGTCGCTGACTCTAAGGAGCTGAGTGACCCAGCCACTGAGCCTCTGCCCTCATAGCCATAGATCTGGATGGAGTCATAGGGAGGAGCAGTGGGGTCGTTGTCAGCCTCCTGTATCCTCGTGTTGATGAAATCATCAACGTCCACGCTGTTGGGAGCCGGCCGGAGGCCCGGTCTGGGCATGTACTGGTACTCGGGTTTGATGTCCTTGCGAGGGATGAACCCATTGATGCCATCGGGGTTCTGCAGCGTGGCAATGTCAAAGGCTTCCGTGTCCTCCTCACCTCCACCCTCATCATCATAGGTGATAATGTTCTCCCGCACGTCTTCTTCTTCAAAAACGATCAGAGGTTCTTTTTTCTGCCTTTTCAGTGTTACAAACAACACTACAATGACTAGAGAAAAAAAAGCAGGAAGTTAGCCAGGACTCTCAAACAGCAGCTCCTTTATCAATAGATTGTTGCCCTCACTGAATCCTCAGCTTTTGTTCATCATGGATGGTTGCCTACATCTGCATTTTTAGCATACCTTCCTAGGTAACAGCAGAGATGTTTATACACAGAATGAACATACTGATCTGAGGCTTCCTGTTTGGGTCATGTGCCACTGCTCTTACTAATTGCTCATTACTGCAAGACTAATTCAAGGAAAGCATTTGTGGGCCCCTAGCGCTGCAGGAACACTGTGACACTGCCTTTGAGCAGCCCAATCACATGAATATTTGCGAGAAAGCAAGCATGAATCTTTATTTTCTCCTGTATGCCCAAATCTCAACTCCACAAGTCATTTCGATTAAAATGGAATTTTCTTAAGCAACACCTCCAAACACACGTTGTTGTTCTCACTTCAAATTTCTATAAAATAACTTTAAAATATGTAAGAAAAGAAAGACTATAAATTACTATGGGCAAACTAAAAAAAATTATATAAATATTTTCAAATCATCAGGAAACACTTCACAGCACTAAAACACTTCACACACTAAAATCCAGTCTTCTGAGCCACTCATCTATCTTCAACACAAGAGGGTGTGAGGGGAATAGCTGGCAGGAGCCATTAATCTGGCTGACCTCAATAGGGAACTTGTCATCTAGGGAAGATCACAAAACTTAAAACTCTATGTCATGACCTCCTTTAAACAGTGTCCCTGATTAACTGATATTAGGCCATGAAAGGACATTCTCCAAGCACACCATGACAAATTCACTGGTGTTTGCTATTGCAGTTATTATAGAATCATAGACTGGGTTGTTGGAAGAAACTTGAAAGCTCATCTTGTTCCACTCCCCTGCCATGGGCAGGGACATCTTCCACTAGCCCAGGTTGCTCCAAGCCCCCTCCAACCTGGCCTTGGACACTTCCAGGGGTCCAGGGGCAGCCACAGCTTCTCTGGGCAACCTGTGCCAGGGCCTCACCACCTTCACAGCCAAGAATTCCTTCCCAACATCGAATCTAAACTCGCTCTCTCTCAGTTTGAAGTCGTTCCCTCTTGTCCTGTCACTCCAGGCCCTTGTAAATAGTCTCTCTCCATCTTTCTTGCAGGCTCCCTTCA